TACAGCCCCTCAAAGTGGACCTTGATTTCTTAACAATGCTGTCCTATTTCCTTTATTTCTCACCTTCTGTCTCCATCCAATAATGCCTAGACTTTCAGATCCTTTTCAACGTCTGCTTCCACCGTTTGGGTAGTCAGTCACCCATTCTTTTGCAAATTTTAGAGCAATGCAGGAGCTTCCTCATCATTCTACTATTCTTTTTATTTGGCCATACCTTAAATTAACAAATTGTACCATATGAAATTTATCTTTTTATAAAGAATAAATATCTGCATTGGTTAGTCTACATAGATCCATTATACTGAATCATAAATTTTACTTCAAAAATTTCATTCGAATATCTTCATTACAGCTATGGGAGTTCATGTTTTATTTTAAAAACGACTGGCCTAATTAATGTTTTGTTTTACATTAGTACATCTTTACATATGTTGGTGCATATTGCCTATATTAACTTCGTGCACATTGTCAAGGTCATACTTTCAAATAAATTGATATTTGCAAAGTATGCTCAGTTTATTGCCATGATTCTTCTATTCACTGATTTGTTCCCATCATTCACCTCAGGCTAAATAGATGACAGCCTGAACCAATGTGGATATATTTAGTTTTGTTCTCATTAATCTAATCTAAGGTCTTTTGTATAACTTTCATTGCTCAATTTATTTACTTTCCAAACTCTTCATTAACTAACTCTATTACGAAATATCAATCAAAATGACTTGAATCATTAATTAATCACATTGTAAATCTCTTCTTGTTAACAGAAATCTTCTCATTGAGGAATATGAATAATCAAGTCACCACATACATTCCTCTTCAATCCAGCATCAATCTTTGAGCTCTAAATGCTCTTCCTACTTAGTGCTGCATTCAAATATAGCAGGTACCACCCAAAGACAAATTCAATTGTTTGTAACATTTCTGCATCATATTTTTGCATAATAAGATTGTTCCCAATTAATACAAGTATTAATGTAAACGAGTCAAAAACTCAACAAGTTACAAAAATTATATCTTAGATTATATTTTGAAAAAATCTGACAACAGTCTGTAATGCCTATAAAAAAAAACTAACTGATCAATGTTTCGCCAATTCAGGCATCATCAGGATATATAAAAACGGTTCATATTACACAATGACACTCAAACACAAATTTGAAATGTCACCTTCTCTTGACTTCAGTATGTAATTGGAAGTCATCGAGTGTGTTGAATCTTGTTTTATCTGTCCTGATGTATGAATTGGTGAAATGTTGGCAGATTGGTTTGTTTTTTACCTGAATTTTAGAGACAAAAAGCTGTGTGGTTGGATTTTTCCAATTATAACCTATCATTAATAAAAACTTCTTAAACTTACCACAAAATCACAATTATTAACATTTTTTCCTGTTTTCAAGATCGTACAAAGAATTATTTTCATAAATTGCCCAATCCATTTAGCTAGTCTTGCTATTAGTTCAGTTATAGGAAAAAGTTGGAAAAATTAAAAACATATTCAATAGTGATAGACTAGTGAAATTTATTTATAAAACATGTTTTATAAATAAATATTAAATTCAAATGGCTCTTACTGGCCTATATACAAGATTGACTGTAGGCTAGCAGTCTTTTTTGGTACAGGGTACTTCTTGTGGAAAATTTTAAACTGTTCTCAGTATGGCATTAAGCTTTAATAATCAAAATTAAAATCCTATTTTTATAATTCATTTCAGTGATGCCTTCGAGAGGTGAGAGGTTTACATTTATGGTACCATAAAACTTTATTTTGCAAACCTAACATCAAAATTTGAGCCAGAAAACACCAGAAATATATCCTGGAGCAAATAGTCTGAAACTCTTGAACCATTTTCTCTTTACTGGAAAACTCTATGCTTTTCAAAAAAATTCAGCACTTACGTACAACGCTTGATTAACCCACCATTGGTTGAAGAAGAACTTCTGTGAACTCATCAATGTTTCAGACTGGCTTTAGGGAAGTCAAAATTCGAACACAGTGTATTTATGACTTTCATCGTCTTTGGAGTTGAATGATTGCCACAGGGAAACAAAATATTAGTTTGGAAAGTTTGAAAATCACCCTGATGAATCTGGTTGACAATTTTCCACAAGAAGAACTACGTGCTGCAGTAGACCACAGATGCCATTGGTCATGACTATAATTTTCATTTGTATATAAGAAATGTTATCTAAAAAAATTTCACTGTTAGATAAAGAAATGTTAAATTCAATCTATGATTTTTCCATTTTCCTTGTAACAAAATTTATGGTAGGACAAAGCATGTTATTCCAAACTTGGACCCAAAAAATAAATGATGAACAAAAGCTAATCAAATGAAAAATTCTATGAAAGATTTATGAAGCATGTCACGACTGAGACAGACTAGGCCGTATTTCACATTAATTCTCTCTTTCCTTCCTCCAACTTGATCGCCATATAGTCTTTGAATCTTAGGTTATCCAGTCCTTCACTTTTTCTAAAGAACTTTTTCAGTTACCAGGTAGCATACTGGGCTTAGGATATACAGTTTAAAGACTGTCATTTCAGACCAAATATTGCAAAATTCTCAATCCTTTCTGATCCTCATCAAACTCACCCTTCTTAAAAAAGAAACATAAATCTTTCAAAGTATTTCTCACTCAAATTCCATGCAGTTCTTTCATCATTCATTTTTAACTTCAAAGTTTGGAATGGATTCACAAGGTTAAACAGAGTTTTAAAAGAAGGATTTTCATTTTTATGTGATTAACTTACTTTTGAATTTTTAACAAGTGCAATGACCTCCTATTGGCAATTAAAAACCTTTGTTTTGTTTTAACGCAACAGCTGGAAGAGCTTATAATTGTGGAACCTGATTCTTGAACACCTCAGTCTTTTTAAAACTGCTTGATCCAATACTCACTTGTCTATAATGAGAGTTTCTATCTTTTCTAATGAATGTGTACATATATATGAATACATATTTATTATTTACTTAATCTTTTTTTTCTTTTGGTTCATGACAAAGTATAGGGTAAATCCACCAATAGCTGACATGTTTTCAGCTATTTCAGCAATTTCTTTTAACTTTTAAGTTTAAAAACTTAAATATTAATGTTATTATAATTTTCTTGGATTCACCTTAAAGAAAAACTTCTCACCTTACCGAGACACATTTAAAATACATGAAACAAAAAGTTTTGTTGCACCAGAAGCTGACGCTATTTGATTTGAAATGTTCCTATAGCTGACAGGGCTGAGAACAAGGATGTGATTGTACAAAATAAGTGATGACATTTTATATTATATATTTTAAAATATATATTAGCAAGCATTTATTATAAAATTAATTTCTTGCATTTTCTGAGTGCTGAATGCTGGACACAGTCAAGAACCCGTTTTGGGAACTAGAAAACCTATTTTTGCTTTGTATTTATCCATATTACTAACATTTTTTAAACAAGAGAGCGATGGATGGTCCTATTTTTAAGACAAATCATATTAAGTATATATTTTTGAATTATGGGAGGACAGGCCTTTCAGCTACTCACCAAAGTCCCCAATATAAGGCTCCAGTACCTGACATCCATTAAATTTCCAGTTCGTTCATCAATATAAGTTAAAAACAGGTAAAACATATTCTACAGACACTAAGAAAAAAATAAAGCAACAGTTTTGGGATAAATTGAAGTAATTAAAGAGAAAAAGCCAAACCTAAATTATGATGCCCTTACTGAAATATAGTTTGAATTTTTTTCATTTTGCCTTAACCCAATGTTTTAGGATCATGTGAAAGAGGATTGACTGGAACATATCAGTATTATCTTGACCAGAATGTCTCTTAGTTATTTTCTTTAAATAATCAATCAGTATGAAAAAAACATTTATTTCATTTCCATAATAGGTTGAAGCTATTTAGAATATTTTCAACTCCTTTCTCATTATATAGTCGGCCAACTATAACTTTAGACTTGTTCATTCTCACAATTGACTTTATTTTAATCTGATAGAATTTTAATCATTTTCTAATGAAAACCAATACTGACAACATATATTATAAAAGTTTACCTAATATTTGCTAACAGTGACTCCTCGGCAAAATTTGAATTTGGTGTACTGGCTAATATGTCTAAGCATAAAGCCACAAAAAAAAAAAAAAAATTGAAATCTAAATAAATATTCATATAATGAACAGGTATTTATATTCACTTCAGATATGTATGACTATTCATAAGGCACCAAGGAAGATGTTTATGAAGAGTGGAGGGTAGAGAGGAATCAACTGGAGAGAAATGGAGCAACACGATGGAAGAGTTGGAAACGTGAATGGAAACCAATTAGAAAACTAAGGAAAAGGAAATACTACAGAAGATAGAGAACAGATTTACCAACCAGAACAATCCTCAGAAAAAAGTAATGAAAAGGGTTAAGTTAGTATTTTTGGAAAAAAAAAATTTACACACAAAAATATTGATCTGTAAGAATTTAGGGAGTCCAACATAACGGTGGTAGAAGTTCAGTGCCTATGGGAATAGAGTGAAGGTAGTTTCTCGTTACAGACAAGGAAGGATGTTGTAGAGTGACCTGTCTGAGGGATGTTAAAGTGTCTGTTGTGATGTATTCAGTGTAAGCAAATGGCTCAATTATGTATATTTGTATATTGTATATATTTGTGTACTGTAATGTGGTTAAAATATAAAATAAGCTAAAATAAAGAGTGTTTGATTTATAACAGTCTCATATAACTTTATTAATGAGAACACTAATTTATCATGTATTTTTTTATGTCACCCACTGATAAATGGATACTAAACATATTTTATAGAACAAAATAAAATTAAAATGAATTAACCTTTCAACAATATTGTCATTGATGAATATCATATGGTCCCATGTGCATGTTAATTTTATTATTTTTGGTTAACGTGATATTTTAAAGCAAAGGAATATTATATCAGCACCAAAGGGTGAAAATAAAAAAAACATATTAACTTGTATTTATTTTTATTTTTGTTTTTAGGTTCAACCAAGCTATGCTCAATGTGAAACTTACAACACGGACAAAAGACACTTTGCTTCAAGTACTACTTACAGTAGGCTTTTAAGTACAGAAACTAAAGTGACAAAAAGTGCAAGTAGTGGTGCTGTAGTCACTCAGCATGAACGCCCAATCACTCCAAGTATATCATCCATAGGAGGAGCCGTCCTTCGATCAAAGACTGCAGACATCGAGAGGATGTTACGAATACAAAGTAAAGCCAAAAAGGTCCCTACGGTAGAAAAAGACTGTAAAAGAAGATATACTGATGTCAGGCACCTGACCAGGAATCTGGTGGAAGAAAAGACAGAGACTACAACATCCGCTAGTGAATCCCGTGGTGTTTGGAAAAGGAGGGAATTGATATCTAGTGAACCTAAGGAAAGGAGGAACATTTTCTAGTACAACTAGAAATGGAATTCTAAGGTTTATATAAAACTAAATGGACCTTACGGGGTAAAAGATGTTAATGAACATCTTGAAAGTATGCAAAAATTCTTGTACAATTTTTTTATCAGTTGTCTCAGTGATATGGTTAGAACATAGTGGCCTTTAAAAAATATATATATAAAACAAAAAAAGAAACAACCTGCAGTGACAGTGTGTGACAAAACTTATGAAATTAAACATTACCATGAATTTTTAGTTTTTAAGATAAAGCCTAGTCATATTAAGTCAATTTTGTGTTTTCTACGTATTATTGTATAGCAACTGATTGTGCTAGTGACAAAACTGAGAGTAAACACAGGTTGTTTATTCAGTATATATTATATATATATTATATTATGAAAGCATAATTTTTATTGAATTGTTAATACAGAAATTTTTAGCTTTTGTTGTTACATTGTTTTTTCCTAATAATTCAGGTTCAATTTTCATACTAAAGAAAGTCATCCATACTACTGAAATGGATATGGTTAAATATAGGTTTGATACCAAAATTGATTTAGTTAATATTGAAGAATTAATTTTCAGGTATAGATATTAATTACAAGTATGAATGTTTGGTATACAATGCAAAAAAAATATATATATATATTTTTTTTTTCAACATTGCAATTAACAAGTTCCTCTAATGATATTTATGAATTCTTGGGGTTCTACCTGAAAGTTTTGCATCTCTTGCAGCATATTGGTAAGTATAGTTTCAATCTCATTCCAAGTATGTTCTTTGAGTGTTAAGATAGTTCTGAATAGACCAGACTGAAATATTTTAGATGTTAAGTATTTCCATAAAAAAAAGTCCCAAGATGTTAAATCGGGCAAGCAGAAAAAATAAGGTACAGAAGTGTCAATACCTCCACAAGATTGATAGTTTGTACCCCTTCGTTCCAAGAAATTGTTTTGCTCTCTTCTTCTTAAAAATAGTACAAGTGAAAATATATTAAGACAAATGTAGATCTTTACAATTACTGTTTTTTAGTTTATTTATTTTTAAATTTTGTCCTTCCCTTCCTCGCATGTTAGGCTATATGGAGTTTTTGGGGGTGAGGGCGGTAGATTAATGCCATAGTTGAAAGCCTCTGTGATCTGTACTATGTTTTTTTTCCCTTCTTTTCTGGTTTGAAAATTTTCCCAAATTGAAACCTCACAAAAATATGGTTCTCTTCAAAAATAGCCTAACTCCCTCCCAAAAAAATTGTTAATGGAACAATTTTTGCTATACAAACCCCTTCTGGACACCCTTAGCGAGGAAGATGCAAGGATAAAATTTAAGCAATATCCATCAATAAGATGTGAAAGGTCATGCGAAACTAACAGGAAATGCTCCAAGGATGCTATAAAAGATGTATAGCATATTTAAATTGTTTAAATATTTTATAAACTTAGAGTTTATAAAATATTTAACTTTGTTATACACTGTATTTTCAAGGAATGAATTGTCCTTTAAATTTTTCCATTTATTTATGAAATTACAATGGCTCATTTTCAAGCGATCAAACATTTATGACATATTTAATAATTTTTCAGATTATATAATTCTGTAGACGCTTACTTTTAATCCAACAATATAAAACCAACATTGTTCTAAGCATTTTATTTGCAATTAATACAAATGTATGTCAATTTAAAAACCTGATACTAGGTATTCCTTCTTCTATTGCTTAAAATGGACTAAGAACAATATTGGTTTTGTATTATTGGGATGAAAGTAAACAGCAATAGAATTATATAATATGAAAATTGTTAGATATGTCATCAACTTTTCATAATTAGAAAATGAGCCATTTGGTTCAAAAGGTTGTAATTACATATATATATGGAATTACATATATATATTACATATTATGTAATTATATTGTGCCCTTGGAAAACATTATTACTCCAATGATTTATAACTATAAATAATTTGGTAATAAGTAATTTTATTTTAAAATTGTTCTGTTTCACAGCTGGACCCAATTGGTAAAAACTTTGGACCTTTACTTTAATTTTTTTTTTTAGATGTCTGAACTCTTTTTTAGTTTAAAAATATTTTATAAGAGACTTTGATCCAGACAGATTGAATTTAAAAATCTCTGGGTCACCAGCAGGAGCATATTACTGGCTTACATTGAAACTTGTTTTTAGTTTTTCGATAAAGAGAAAAATTAGAAACTTTTAATTTTCTAATATTCTATCCTTCCTGGCAAAACTTCAAATGTTTAGATGCATGGTCAAGGAGAGAAAGCAATGGCCACAGGGATAAATATTTCTGAATCCCCTCAAATATTAAATTTATTACTTAAAACAAATCTAATCTTGTATCATGTATGTAACAATAAGATTACTTGAAGACATTATATAATATGTGTAATATTTTTATTTTGTTTTAAAAAGTAAAAAATTAAATCTGCTCGACTGAACTGGGATCCCTGGCCTTGGTCCTGTGGCTATCCCTAACTACCCTCTCTCTCTTTCATTAGATACGTTTAAACCACTTAATTCTGCTTATTCAAAACCTATTGTTCTAAATTATCATATTGACTTCAGTCGAAAAATTGCTAAATTAGTAAATATAGAGATGTAAATAGTGAATTTAAATTTTGTTAATAAAATAGATTCAATAAACAATTATTACGTTCACTTAGTAATATGTAATATATAGTAAGGGAAAGTATTGCGATTATGAAAATTTTCGAATCTGAGTTTTCAACTGAAATACACGTTTTGAGGTACCCTGAATCCAAATAACCAAGTCCCACAAAATGGTCTTTGTGTCTGTGTATGTTAACAGTCTAGTAATAACACGAAATGTCATATTAAACTGATATTACGTATTTAAGATATAGATGTGACTGCAAGTTTTTCCTTAAAATCGGCTAACCGGAAGTGCCATCAACGCTGAAACACATTTTTACAATTCTCTCAAAAACGGCTTCCTCTAAAGTACCTTTTATACAGTTTATTTTAAATAATTAACTATCTCACACTATTAAGAGTTACGAAAAAATACAAAATATAACTTTTGAAAGAATTTGATAATTGAATAAAGGAGAAAAAAAAATGCTTATTCAGGTCGATAATGAATACGAATCAAAAATTACCGGAAATACTAGTCGGGAGGTATACATATAATATATCGTTGGAAAGCGGAGAATTTTAGAAAAAAAAAATCTAATATAGCAAGTTGTGGGCGGTAACAGAGAGTGACAAAAAAATTATAAATAATAATTTTTGAAAACTAATAACATTTAACGTAAATCACGTGTTTTAAAGGAAATGAAATTTACTAACTAATGAAATTAACTACTAATGAAAAAACTAACTAAATTAACTAAAACTATTAACTAACTAAAACTAATGAAATTTACTAACTAAATGTGACCTTTTAAAATATTTTTAAGTTTGAAAAATTATTTAAAATCCACTGATCAAGGCTATGACATTGTTAAAAAAATATTTCATTGTACTTATGTGAAATAAGAAGTAAAATATAAAATCATTTCATGGATGTATAAAGCATATGTTTATAACCTTAAATACATGTACTATAGTTTAATAAGTCTAAATCTGATATTATATTTAAATAATCAGGTATCAACTTCCGTTTATTGCGAAATTAGTGAATAATGTGATGAATCTAACCTTTGTGATATTTCAGCAGTACTCAATAGTATTTAAGTGTACTTGTGTGGAAGAAGAAGTGGAATATAAAAATATTTCATAGATACGTTTATAACCTTAAATACATTTACTGTAGTTTATTATCTCTAGATCTGATATTACGTTTAAATATTTAGGTATCTATCGTCCTTTTATTCCGAAAAATGATCATACAACCTTTTAGAAAATTAAATTAATGAATAGTTTGATGAAATTTCCTTTTGTAATATTCCAATAGTATCCACTTACAATTAGAATAACAACTTTTTACCTGTCTATGACAGACAATGCAAATCTCTTAAATCTGTTTTAGTAAACTTTTCAATGTAAAATAACAGTTCAATAACTAATAGTCGTACAATCCATAAACAACGAATCGTACAATCCATAATCAACCGGTGATATAATAAATAGAACTTTTGTTATTTTAATGGTATTTATGACTTGTCAGCTGTATTTTTTTAGATTTTAGATCGGTTAAAAATGCAATTCAAAAATTTTATAATAGCCCAACATGGTCAGAAAATAATTTCTATTCAAAGTTGAACGGTAAGTGAAAGTTGTGTGTTGCGCGCACCAGATTTTTTAAATTAATCACATCTCAGTGTGCAGTATAAAAATAGAATATCTGTGAGGTCTGATTAATCATTCTGTATTTATTTCTTATCGAAATTTATGATCTAAGGAATTTCTATCTTTAAAATAATGTTTTATAAACTAGTGAAAATATAAATTTTATTTTGAAACTAACGACCCAGCATTATTAAAATAGTGCCATATTTCTGCAGGAAATGACCAAATAAATTCAATAACAACAATTCAAATAATTAAAATCATCTCTAAACAAACATTACCCTTACTTTCAACAGTTTAAGTAGCCTACCCCAATTTTGATACTGGATCTTAAATTCAAGGTGTGTACTTATGTAATCAATAATCCATCAGGGTTGATCTCTGAAATATCTGTCTGCAATCAGGTCCCGCTACCATCATATTAAAATTGAAGTGAAAGTGCAAGTTCCTGAACTCAGCGCTGAGTTCATGGATAGAGCAGTTTCGCTACATTTAGACTCCTTATTAGAGATGAATCTGAAGCCATGGATGAAACCAACGGTCTAGATTATCTAAGTTTTTTTTTTATTTATTGAAGTAAATTCAAAAACAATTTAGTATATAACACAAAAAAGAAACAGTATTTTTTTGTTTAAGGGACTAAAAGTAGGTGTTAAAACACAACTTAGTACACATGAGTGCCCATTCCCACAAAAAATCGATGGCCTATACTTCCCTCTTAAAAAAATGTATTACTCTCCTCT